ACTCACAGGTGATGGCCAGAGGTTAGCCCTTCAGTCTAGAACTCACAGGTGATGGTCACTTTAGGGGGTGGGTTGGGTGGGAGTTGAGAGACTGGTCCAATGTAAAGCAGAGCTGTGGGTCTTTATTTTTTTAAATAAGGAGTTTTGAGATAAAGATGGAAGAATTTTAAATCACAGAGACCCCTTGAAGTGAGGGCCCTGTGCAACTATACGGACTGTGCACTCTGGAAGGCCACCTGTAGGCTCGGAATGTGGGTCACCCAGAGATCAAGTCCTCGTCTCTATTCTAAGTTTCAAGAATGGAAAATCTCCAGTGTCTTGTGGTGGCGGAGGCCATGCCTGTGGCCATCCCCCTGCCTTCTCAGCCCTGACCTCCCCTGCCTCCCATCCCGGGTCCCTGTGTCACTGACCTGCAGTTCCTAGGATGGTATGGAGGAAGAAAATGTGTGCCTGGAGAGAGCTGAGTGCCTTCAGGGAGCTGGAAGGCATGGGCCCTGTGCATCACAGGAGGTTTGCAAACTCTAGTAACATCATCTCTGGGCCATTGGCGCCAGGCTGGCCTCAGCAAGGGCTGGGCTGTCTGTGCTGACCTTAACACCCATGGTTCCTTCACCTCAGCTCCTCCAAGTCTGTCCTAGAAGGAAGTGGACTCCAGTATCCTAGCATGGGACCCTGAATACAGGCCCTATGTGCCTAGGGGAAGCTCTCTCTCCCCAGACCTTGTTGTCTTATTCAACCATCAACAAAGGGGTCTGCCTAGAACATTCTGGGGACCCTTGGAATAAGATGCCAGGCAGGAGGAAGGCAGTGAACAAAGGGTGGGGGAGGGTAGTGGAGGCAGAAGACCCACCAGGAATCTGGTCCTGACTCAAGGGGGTGTAGTGTGACCCTTTGCCTCCGCCTTACAGGCATACTACGTGAGTCATTTCCTTCTTTGCCCGGGGAAGAACTGCCAGGCACGGGGTTTTCTGTTCCTCTCAAGTAAGAAGTGACTAGGAAATGGAAAAGTAATCTAGTAGGAAGTGAAACAGAGAAGGAAGAGAAGAGTTCTCAGGCCTGGGGTAAGCAGAGGACGAGAGCCTAAACTCTGCGCTGCTGGTCCAGAGGGTGATGGCTAGTCCATGGAGCACAGCCTTGAGATGGGAAGACCTGCCCTGGAGCTGTTCCCCACACTGGGACCAACAGGAAGATAAAGCAGTGGGAATCCCATTGGGAGACGAAGCTGTGGGGAGGAAGTGGCCATGAGAGACTGGGAGGCCATAGGTAGCCTTCCAGAGATGGTTTTTATTGTATTTAGTGGCACTGGGGGTGTAACCAGGGGCCTCATGTATGCTAAGCAAGTGCACTATAACTGAGCCACACTTCCAGCCCTTGCAGAAAATTATTTAAGACCATGCCTGAGTGTCAATTCTAAAAAGGCCACAGGGAAGAAGAGGATTTCGGGATGAAGCATCAGCAGGAGTGAAGCACCAATTTAGAAGAGCAGTTACCTTGTCTGAGGAACCAATGATGTCCCCTGGGTCAAACAGAAATGAGCAGCAAGGGCCAAGGCACTGGAGAGGGGTTACGTCCGTGTGGTAGGTGAATGATATCCTCCAAATACCCATGTCCTATACACTGGAACCCGAAAGGTCAGCTTACACAGCTAAAGGGACTCTGGGCAGATATGCTTAAATGGAGGAGCTTGCTTGAGGCTTGAGATGGGGAGTTGATCCTGGACTACCCAGGATAATCCCAGGGTTTTTTGAAGAGAGAGGCAGGAGGGTCAGATTCAAAAGTAAGATGTAGTTAGGCCTGGTGGGACAGGCCTGTTATCCTCAGCTACTTAGGTGGCTGTGGCAGGAGGGTCTCAAGATAAAGGTCTTCTTTGGCTACAGAGTGAGTTCAAGGCCAGCCTGGGCAACCTAGGGAGACCCTGTGTCGTAAATAAGGATGTAGCTCAGTTGGTAGACTGTTGCCCATTATGCACAGAGCCTGGGCTTTATCTCCAGCACCATGCAAATGAGCAGCATTTGGAAAGTTCAGAAGTTCAGAGGTCACCCTCAGACACATAGGAAGCTGGAGGCCAGCCCAGGACACATGAAACCTTGCCTCAAATATAAAGTCAAATAAAATAAAATGTAAAGAGAGGGCTCAGGATGCAGTTATACAGTAGGGCACTTGTCTCGAATATGTGAAGGTCTGGAGTCCAGCACCACAAAAAGATGTAGTGAGACTCATCTGAGGTGCTGAGAGACGATTAGCTAAGTGACACAAATGGCCCCTGGAGCTGGAAGAGGTCTGGGCATGGGTCCCTTGAGAGGCCTGGAGAGGGGTCACAACTCTGACTTCAGCCCTCTGCGATCCATTTCAGACTCCTGGCTTTCAGAACTGTAAAGCGATACATAAATAAACACATGCGGCTTTAAGCCCTCAGATTTGCGGTAGCTTGTCACCATCATCGGAGGATTATGGTCCGCTTATCGTACTTGTTCCTGAGCAGACAATCCTTAAGTGGCACCTGCCTAGAATCCCAGGACTTAGGCGGCTGAGGTAGGATGATGACTGCCAGTCTGAGCTACACACCAAGAGCTGGTCTCAAAAGAGCAATAACAACAATACTCCACCCAGTCATTTTCTGAGAGTTTGTGTAGATCATTTTGTCTCCCAGATCCCCTCCTCGCCCTCACTAACCTCTGCTCTGAGCCCCAGAGTTTCCCCTGGGACTCCTGGCCTTGGCCTTGGCCTCCAGCTGTGTTTGGCCACGAGGTGTCCAGTATTATGGTTATGGGAGAAGAGAAAGAGGCCACTTCTTCTCCATCCCTCTGGTCTCTCTTTCCCTTTGTGGTTGCACCCTCCATCACGCCAGCTCCTAGTGGGCAGCCTCTGTGGGATTTAGGCTCTGGGCTCTGGGCTCCAAGAGTGTCTGCCCTTTTGCCCCTTCAGTCCTGGAGACAATAGCTTGCCTCCATTGCTGGTCTCTGGGTGCTTCCACAAGGTCCCTGTGGCCTCCCCCTGCCCTATAACCCTGGCTGGCAGTCCCTTCATAGAGCCTACACTGGACGTTGAGTTGGATATTAACTTCCCTGTGGGGACTTTGCACGACACAATGAGCAAACACGGTTTCTTTACTGGGACCTGTTGGGATGAGTGAAGGGTTCTGAGGGCTGACAACAGCCATCAGTTACAGGAGGACATTTTTATATTGGACTTCAATGAAGCAGAGTTCATTGGCTCATAGGGGACACTAGCCTGTTGGCAGGCTTTGGCTGGCCATGCAGAGTTCTCTGCCGACTGTGTCCCACAGAGGTCTTGCTGTGAGCCCTTGAAAGAAAGCCTCCGGTCCACAAGGTCACCTGTAAGTTCTCCACCTCTGGTAGGAACGGCCTTTGCTCTCACAGCATCCCTTACATCAGGGGACAGGGAGATCTGCTCACTCAGCTCTCTTGTCAGTCAGCTGTCGGTGAGGAGGCGGAGCCGTGGAGTCTGGGCCCTTGGGAGGTAAGATCAAGTAAGGCTGTCTCCTCTCCAAAGCTGGGGTCTGGGGTGTGACGTGGGCTGGCCTCCTTGAGCATGTTATCTGATTTAAACCTTGCCACAACCCTTCAAGGCAACTGCCAATTGTCCCTTTTTCCATATGAGGAAGGGAAGGCTCCATGGAAGCTCAGGCTGAAATAGCCTTTCTGGCATCACCTCCAGCTCCAGCAACACCTATCTTAATAACAGTTTCCAGTGCTTGGCTTTCAGAGCTACCTCCGCATTTAAATTTTACATTCTCCCCAGCATGTCTAGGATACAGAAATTCTCATTCCCATTTCACAGATGAGGAAATCCAAGTCTAGAGATTGCCCATCGCACAATCTGCCTTTTTTAAAAATTTGACCTTCTACATATGGCCTCAGAGGGGGCTTTCTCAGGGGACTTTCTAGCCCATACTTATTTGAGTCTATTGCCTTTAGTATTAGCAATTTAGCAGAGGGGAAGGGTTTTGTAGGACAGCCATTGTTCCCTCCTCCTGTCCAGGAGCTAGGATGGCTGTAGTCTCACTGGAAATAAAATCTCCTAAGTATTTGACTCTGTCCAGGTGACACTCTCTTTATGCCCCTGGCTTCTTACCAGCTTCAGACATGCTTAGACTGTCTCTGG